TTTATTCTTTCCTTCTTGATCTTCTACTGAAATATATCCTATTCCTGACCATCGTTATATACTACTTATGTGAATATAAATAGCTCACATCACACCCTGAATAATTATGGATGTCTATTATTAGTGTTTAAAAATATAGAGTCATTCGCTCTTTACTGATCAGATCTTAACATTAAATGAAGTTCAAATCATAACAAAAACATAACTACACTAATGATAAAACTTTATTTTAATAGAAAACAGTAATAAATGATCATTAAACTAATTGACTTATCGGGGTTATCATTAAAAACCCATTTAGTAAAGTTATTATCTGATTAATATCAAAATTGAATAATTAAAAATGATTTGATGTTTATTAAAAGGAGAATAACAGTTTTTCAATATAAAAACAAAACTCTACTGAAGTTTATAAAAGTAAAATTATATCAAATATCTAAATAAAACTTGTTACTAAGTGCAACTGATCCGTTTACTCATTCCACGAGCCAGTAACTAACTGGACTCAGTTACTAAAAGGATAATTTGATAACTTTTTAAATTAACGGCACTGCGTTAAATTCCTAAAGTAAATATCAATTGTGGGGTGCTGGTACATCCAGGTTAACGAGTCTCTGTGACGATGGACAGCGGGTGAACGCGAGGAAGCTGTAAGAGGCTTAGAAGGAGCCGACGATGTTCCGTCCAATCACCTTTCGGGAGAATATTCTAGAATTCCTGCATGTAGCTTCCCGATCGGACAATGCTAATAGCCCCTATATGCGGATTGGAGGACTGTAATGATGATTTCGTTCTTACTAAAAACTATGAATACCTGACAATTTCGTACTATAATTGACACTGTTTGGAATAATATTCCTTTCATTAGTCTTCTGTCTTCTTATTGCGACTTGTAAGGGTTTTGGTATTCTGGTGCTCTGTTATCCGCGGTAGATCAGGAACTCAACATTCAAGATATAACAGTCTCAAAATAGGAAATAATATACGTCATAGATTCCTGTGCTGGTTATCATACATTTTTAAATATATTATAAACGTTTCTAAAAGGCAACACGAACTAATATCGGATAATAACCTTGACAAATTCTTACCACATTGTTTAGTGTCTACTTACCAATTGTTCTGATTTGATGAAACTGGATCTTATGTAAATCAAGAATGTAATGTTTAATAGATTGATTGGTGTTAAGCGTTGTTGAATTTGAATATAGTTTTTGTAATAAACTGTAATTATTTGATGCAGTTCATGATGCATTTATTAAGTATTTAAGCTTGATCTAGGAATTTACAACGCCGTATATTTATCATCACAAGTAAGAACAAATGAAAAGTAATTTAATTTGTCAGTGAACAGGATACATTTATACTTATAAGTTTCTGTCTAACTATTTACAGGCTGCGACCACCACTGGTGATACTAGTCAAGCTCATTTAGTCACAAATAACATTTCTAACTGGCACAAATAAGTGCCATTTAATAAGTTTATGCAATATCAATACGATAGACTGTAAAGACAGGATGAACAGCGAGGAATCAAAGTAATTGTTAGATCAGCACAATATAAACTAGATGAAACATTTTAATTTAGGATCTGAAATGAAGGCATATACAATGGAAAACTGAGACCTAAGATCTCATATTGAATTCTGAACAGTCATCTAATATCCCTAACAACTGGTCTTTTTATCATACCAGGAACATTCAATTAGTTTCCACCTGTCAATGCGCCTCACTTCAACAGGTAGTTATTTCATGAACAGTCATAATATTTTGATTCAGTCTCACATAACCTTCCAATCTACTCCTATCCGAAACAACGTTTCGCATCGAGTTAGGTGGTGCTTAACATATATGCAACCCTTTTAACTTCAAAAGACGTTAAACTGAAGTTATGATTTTTCAATTAAACATCAAGAATCCTAATTAAAGTAGACCATCTCCAAATATGCTCTGACTGATAAAAAAGTATGTTAATTTACAAATACTATTAATCACACATTGTGATAATCATTACCTGAAATATTGTGTTTTCCATCTCATAAAACTTGACATTGTTGTATCAAGAAAGGAGTCTTGAATAATGTTAGATAATAAATCATTGCACTATATCTTAGTAAGAAAGTTAAACTTATGACGACTGCAAGCACAACAATGCAATGATGTCTGAAATAGAACTAGACAATTATGTACATAAATCCTACATAGTTAAGCACGTATGACACTTGTCAGGATAATATTGAAAATGTCATAGATAGTACACAAAATAATCCTGAAAAAAAGAAGAAGAAAAACAAATTTATAACAACAAGAAAAGTGATAATTTACATGGTTGCTAATCATTCACAGTTTACAAGTTTTAACAAACACTAATTAAATTGTGATGGTATTAAACATCTTAAACTGTCGTTCCCTAGTTTATCACATGAATAATAAAATAAAATATGTAAACATTTTAGTCAACTAATTTGGGTTTATGCCTAGTATTTGCATAAAAGACATCACAAATATATAGCAGAAAGAATTTATCAGTTTTTCACAGGTATATATATATATATATGTCGAAGTTTGTAATAGATAACCATAGGAAATAACCGTAGTGCTGTTTGAATGTAATTACAAATTATCCAAACCAACAGAATACTATCATTGTATTATTTCAATATACAAATGTCTTAACCACAACCATCATTACTAATTTCTTATTATTAAATTTCATTTATCGAACTGGATAGGTACAGGTTATATCCAAGTATCATTTATTCAAAACATAACAAAGTGGCGTAATACTGTGCAATAAAATATTAATAATTTTTAATGATTGAGATCATGAGTCAATTGAAGCTGGACCAACACGGCAAACCTGGAAGCACTGGATGGCCGTTTAGTCCACGATATCCTTGATATCGCTTCGAGAGACTCGAACCTAGTACCTATCAGTCTCACACTGGCGCCAGCGTCTAACGGTGTTAATATCTAACTTCAAATAATCCACAAAATCGAGCGATACATCCACCATTGTCATCAGTAAGTTACTACCTCACAATAGACGTGGTTGAACTCCACTGGTCACTGCTTCCCACTAGAACTCCAGGATATATCTCTTGAAGCCAGTCACTAGTGAGCATATATTGATTAATAGCTTAAATCTATATTAGCATATAGTGTATTGATTACTTCGGTCTAGTGATAGCTTGTACAATAACTTTTAAATAGAGAAACTATTTGAAGTTAGAATAACTCAAAGTAAAATATCTATGAACCTGATATTGAAATCAAAAATTTATCACTGAACAAATAGAAACTGTGATTATCCTGACTCAAATAGAACTGACGCAACTTGTATCAAGAAGAAGAGAAAAGCTTATGAAAAGGAAAATATTTTAAAACTGTCTGAATATATCCAATTTTAAAGGTTGAACAAACAAAGAATTTGTAATAAATAAAAATGAATAGATCATGTTGGTGAACAAAATTTACTAATATCGTCAACATAAAAAAACTGTATAACATATGAAACTGAATAGCCGAGTTATCTGTCCTATATATATATATAGGACTTCCGTTGCCGATCATTGTGTGTAACCAGTTTCCTTTATAACAACCATTGTATTTATTTATTTATTTCTAATGAAGTTATTTTAGATTACAGAAGTATGTGTTTTCCGGAAACAGTTAGCATTGAGGATTGATCTTCATTGGCATAGTAATAAACAGTAGAAACATGAAGTTCAACGAAGGGATCTGTTTTCAACGAGTTTATTATTAATCTGTACAATCGTATATATATGGAAACAATTTTTTTTGTGTTAAAGTACTAGTTCCGTGAGGATATATGAACATGGAATAACCATGATAATGCAATCGCAAACTTATAATACTAGATTATGCAATGCGATTAATAACAATAGACTTAGTAACGAATTATATTATGAATGTAGTAAGATGATTAAAATATTTTTGTTACAATAAAGGTAATAGAGGTGTAAAAATTAAATCAAGTGATATCATGAACAATTATGAATAAAATCATGAGGGTATAAGACAGGTAAACGGAGAATGCAATAGGAATAATGATACTAGATTGAGGTCAAGGTAACGATAATGATAGAACATACTTCTTTTGTACGCACATTTCTGGCTTAGGATCATGGACAGTGAGAGCTTCTGCTATTCTAAGGAGTTTGATATGAAGAAATCTAGGTGGGCTTGAACGAATCATACACACAACCTTAAATTCCACCTCTGGATCAGTAATATGATTAGGGTCGATTAGATTTTCAAAGATGGAACTTCTAATTGCTTTACTATTACCCTTGTAGGACCACACAGGGACATGTTCTCGTAACCGAGTTGAAAGCAAACTCTGGCTACGGTCAATGTACCTTGCTCCATGAGAGCAGGTGAACTGGTAAATGCATATCGAGGTGACAAGACGAGGAAGCTTATCATTTATGGACATAGAAAACAAGTTACTACTAGTGAACTTTATTCTCAGTTTTGTCGCATAGAACGTTCTTATCGCTGTCGTAAATAATTTCATTTAAGTATTCATGATCTCATCAAGTTCAAAACTTGAGACATCCAAGCCTCTTATTACAAATAGTTACACTTAGAATGTAGAAATATTTTTCATTGCCTCACATATTTACCTTCTATTTGTGATATTTTACCAGCGTCATACAAAGCTACTAATTATGACATTCTGACTATCGGAATATTGAGATATTAATAATTTACTTGTTATACGGTAAAAACATTCATCTCAAAAATATCGTTCACAGTTAAATATTAGCGTCTGATAACGTAAATTTGACAGTCAATAGCTCACTTTTATCAAAGAAATGAAATAAACAAACGTAAATAATTTAACTCGCTGCTGAGGAGTCCGGTACTAGAACGAAACGGCCGTCCAGCCCTTCCAAGTATTCAGCGGTGGTCTAACACTGATCAATTCATGATCTCAATCAAAACGTAACAGTCTCCACAACCCCGTACTGTTATGAAACTAGTTGAAAAAGAAAGCAAACTTTCATCATCATCATCATCATCATCATCATCATCATCATCATCATCATCATCATCATCATCATCATCATCATCATCATCATCATCATCATCATCATCATCATCATCATCATCATCATCATCATCATCATCATCATCATCATCATCATCATCATCATCATCATCATCATCATCATCATCATCATCATCATCATCATCATCATCATCATCATCATCATCATCATCATCATCATCATCATCATCATCATCATCATCATCATCATCATCATCATCATCATCATCATCATCATCATCATCATCATCATCATCATCATCATCATCATCATCATCATCATCATCATCATCATCATCATCATCATCATCATCATCATCATCATCATCATCATCATCATCATCATCATCATCATCATCATCATCATCATCATCATCATCATCATCATCATCATCATCATCATCATCATCATCATCATCATCATCATCATCATCATCATCACTTATCACACACTTTTCATCACACTGGTTCATCAACTGTACAAAAGAACGGTACGAAGCATTTCTTTGACTTTACGTATTTCTGTAAGGCTTCTGACAATCATAATATGCAGCATGACGTGACTAACAGAACTCATCGGAATTCTTCCTAAAATATTTCGGTAAAATTTAAAGCTCATATTTCATAGAATAGAAACATTTGAAGTGAGACAATTTCAAGTATAAAGCTATTGATGTCTATTTGCAACAAATGAGTAACATTAATTATTTGTCCTAGTTAAACAATTACAAACCCTTTGTGATTATCGGTAAATATATCTATCTATGTACAAAAATGTATAAATAATGTAAATCATAACAGTGATACGTAAGTTCAGCAAACTAGAATGTCTCCCAATAAAATATATCCTTAATTATTTATTTTATCATTAGCACCTATTCATAAACATTTATTTTTCATTTCATTTACGCCTGTTACCCCTTACTGAGGAGCACAGACCGCTCATCAGCCTTCTTGATCTAACTCTGTCCTGAAAAATTCTTTCCAGTTGTTTTCATTTGTTATTCATCCTTCTCATGTCTGTTTTTAATTATCAACGCAGTGTGCTCTTTGACCTTCCTCTTTTTTTATCTCCCTTCAAGATTTCAAGTTAACGCCTACCTCATGATCTTCATAAACATAGTAAATCTTAAACTATAATCTCTATTATGATATTCATTCAAAGGATTATTATATGAGATCATTTTGATAGAGTTTTGTTCTCTGAGCTGGATGGTTTAGTCGTGAAGCTTTCATCATTCTTCTGAAGGACATTATCAACACAAACTTCCACCTGAAGTTCAAAATCACCCACCTGAACTATAAATCTTCTCCATCATATATGCCGTCAATTTGATTGATCGAATTCAATTCTTAATATTTTACAAATAATCAATAAGGTAATTTACTTTAACGCTAAAATGAAATCATGTCTTTATTTCTTGTTAAAAAAATGATTTATTCATTATTCTAGTTTACATATGCGAATTAGTTATTTGTAATTATTACACCATAGAAACGGGGTTTTTGAGATTAGATGGTTATTGAAGGTAGTCGACAGGAAACATTGGACCCGGGTCGGCACTCGTCAGCAAGGTGTACCTGTAATCTTGAGGGAACTATTGCTCCCTGGCGGATTCGACCCTGTGTCACCCGGTTTCACAATTTGCACTAAATAAGGAGTTGACACATATGACATTGATCGCCACCTAGTGATCAATCAATTGTAAACGGGGTTTTTCTTTTATTTCTAGTTTAATCATTTATTAAATTACATAATAATAATAATAATCAATAAAATTATGATTGAAAAGATTGCATTCTTGTAAATGTTTATCTCTATAGACATAACTTGTACTGACAAATATGATGGTAATCAGTAAGATTTATTACATTATTGTGTATTATGTTAACAACAACAGGTTGAGTTTAAGTTAACTAAATTATGTAATTTGACCTCTATATATACATCATGATACTTATAATGCATCCAATTCTATATAGTGTATGCCTTGTACAATTAGAAATTATCAGTATACTTCATATAGTATGTATATTTTATGTGGAGAACTTGGTTCATAGTTATATGCATAGATACATATATGTGTATTATCCTTAATTCGTTCATGCATAAACAATGTGAATATTTCTCTCAGTTTTTCTTGTTGTTGTGGTTTTAAAAAAATTTGATTATCATATCTTTAAATATAATAATATTATACAAAAATAAGTGATTTATTACTAAAGGACTACTAATAAGTAGTAATATAAATCTGGTTTAAATTACAATCAGAAATGAATGATGGTTAGCAGTGGAATTCAGGAATCGTGTTTCGTTCTACTTGAAACTTATTAGCTGGATATAACTGTATTCCAGAGTTGATATCCACTTCAGGACTCAAAGTCAGTACAGTTGATTTCAAACATTATTGCGTTATCCACTTAAGATAATATCGAGGCAATCTACACAGGATATACGTATGTCAAGAGACGGATCAATTGTAGTCCTAAACATTAATCGAAAGATTCAAACAATCAATACATAAATGAACTGGTTTAAATTAGTTTCTTAATTGAAAGGAAGAAGCAATGAAAACACATATAGAGATAAATACTACTTCTCACCTTAATTTTGAATTGACTTCTTACATATAGCTACATATATATAAAAACTGACAATCCGTATTCACTTGTGAAAACTGTGTCAATGTAGTTTCAGTCTGAAAAAGTCAACTTAAACCAGTCAAACTCTTTTGTTTTCTTCTTTTACCTTTTGTTGGTCACGTATATTATATGTAATTTTTAGGAATAGAAATCATTAGTGCAAGAAATATTTTAGAGACCATATATCTAACTCCACATCCGAATGTTGGATGTTAGAATCACATCGGGCTCACCGCTTTTGCTGATTCTTAATTTTGACATCATTTGTTTTACGATTTGTATTATAGAATCGTCAAGTATCACTTCGATAGTCATGATCATTTCAATCTTTCATGTGTAAATTGAGTATTGAAAATTAAAAGTTTGCACAGTTTACTCTTCAACATTTATAATATTCTCAAAAAGCATTAAAAGCTGATAGTTAAAATATTTTGCGATCTGAATAATCAAGCTTGATTCATTTACACTTTCAAAAAAGAAACAAAGATCTTTCTGGACTTTCTTCTTTGTAATTCATCATTGTTCTAAAGAAAAAAACTATTTATCTTCTTCAATATGTTAGTAATCTGATTCTGTTTGTCAACTATTAGTGTATTCTCATTTGTTTAGTTGTTTTATATGGTTAAAATTTAAAAGAGTTTGAAATTATTATCCTCTGATTTTGTTATTACAGGTCACATTCAAATTTATATTACTACTGATTATCTGCAGATTTTCATATCGTCAAAGTGAAATAAAGTTAGACCAATATGTGACAAACATTCTTGTTATACAACAGTTACTTAATTTTATTTACTTACGCCTGTTACTCCTAATGGTGCATAGAACGATGACCAGCATTCTACAACTCATTCTATCCTCAGCCTTCCTTTCTAGTTCCATTCAAATCTTGTTCATTCTTCTCATGTCTAACTCCATTTCTCCACGTAATGTGTTCTTTGGTCCTCATCTTCTCATTTGGCCTTCAGGATTCCATGTGAGAGCTTATCTTGTGACGCAATTCGGTGCTCTCCTCAATGTATGTCCTATCCACTTCCAGCGCTTCTTCCTGATTTCTTCCTCCACTGGAATCTGGTTTGTTCCCTCCCACAGTAGGTTGTTGCTGATAAAGTTCGGCCAACGGATCCGAAGTATTTTGTATCGACAACTGTTAATAAACAACTGTATCTTCTGGATGATGGCTTTCGTTGTTCTCCAGGTTCCGCTCCATACAGTAGAACTGTCTTGACATTTGTATTGAAAATCCTGACCTTGGTGTTGGTTGACAGTTGCTTTGAGTTCCAGATGTTCCTCAGTTGTAAATATGCTGCTCTTGCTGTGCGATCCGCACCTACACACCTGCATCAGATCCACCCTGTTCATCAATGATGCTGCCCAAATATGTAAGGTTTTTACATCTTCCAAATCTTCTCCGTCAATTGTGATTGGATTGTTGCATGCTGTGTTGTATCGGCGAATCTTGCTTTTCCCTTGGTGTATTTTGAGATCTACTACTGCTGAGGTTGCTGCCACACTGTTCGTCTTCTCCTGCATTTGTTGTTGCGTGTGCGATAGAAGAGCCAGATCATCTGCGAAGTCTAGATCGTGCAGCTGCATCCTATCTGTCCACTGTATCCCATGCTTCTCCTCAGATATTGATGTCTTCATGATCCAGTCTATCACCATGTGAAAGAGAAAGGGTGAGAGTAAGCAGTTTTGCTTGACACCGGTCTTTACTTCGAACGAGTCTGTCAACTGTCCTCCATGTGCGAACTCCGTACGACGTTGACTACCGACATTAGGTACCATCTACGCCATTGTGTCGAAGAAGCTTCCATAGTGTTGTCCTGTCCATGCTATCAAATGCTTTCTCGTAGTCAATGAAGTTGATGTAGAGTGATGAATTCCATTCAATTGATTGTTTCACAATGATCCATAGTGTTGTGATTTGGTCTGTACGCGATCGGTCCTTACGGAATCCATATTGTTGGTCTCAAATTTGGACGTCTACGGGGTTCTTCATTGTGTTTAACAGTACCCTGTTGTAGACGTTTCCTGGTATTGAGAGGAGTGTGTTGTCCCTGTAATTATCACACTTGCTGAGATTACCTTTCTTTGGTATCTTGATCAGGTGTCCTACACAATAGTTAAGAAAAAAATCTTTATTGTAGTACAGCCGAAATTGATTAGTATGTTTGTTCGAGTGATTTTAGGTGTTTATTCATTGAAAAACTGATAACATCAGTGGAAACAATCGATATCCAGTAATTCTTCTTTTATTGATTGCTTGAATCTTCTCATTAGTGTTTAGGGCTGCAATTGATCAGTCTACTCATTACACAAGCTAATGACTAATATGATTCAATAACGCGATAAAATTTGAAGCGAACGGTATTGTGTTCGATTCTGAAAGTGAAAATCAACTTTGAAATACAGGTACATCCAGCTACTGAGTCCTAAATAGAACAATACCTGTATCATAAATTCCACTGTTAACCGCCATCTATCACTGCCCGAAATACCCGATACGTTATTCATTCAAGCGTTACATACAGTTTAATTTTTTTTGAATGATATCAATTCCAGTTTACCTGCATTAAAAGTTCTTTGGATTGATCGAATTAACTTCAGTCTTAGCATTACACTAGGTGCATGGCCTCTGAATTGCAAGCGTATATACAAAGGCTTTTGACTACACTTTTGCTTAACCACACTGAGAGGTGCTCACGAGCCCGAATATACAAATTCCTAAAACATCTACTCATATAACTTACTCCACAGGAGCAGTTAAATTTTAATGCAGGTAAACTGTAATTAATGTTTTCCACACGTCCAATGATCACTCCGCGGTTAAAAAGATAAATTGCCTTGACTAGCCACCTCTTTCT